CACGCTAGACGTTTTGATCCAAGGCAGCCAGCTGGCTGCCTTGGATCAAAGTATATAAAATTATATAAAAGTAAACTCACAATATCGTTTTCCTAAAAAATCCTGCTGATTCCACAAAACGTTTACAAAGTTTAGTTATTGCAAATGTTTTTCACAGTGCTAATTTTAACATTTATGTGTTTTTGTTTTTTCAGTCCCTACAATATTTAACAATAACATCTTATTTCCTTTAGAGGAGAAACTGTGAATTCTCGGCTTCGCTGAATTTTGTTTAAAACATTATTCTATCTTCCTGTAGTGGTGAGGCTGAGGCAGGGGTGGATAACCCTCAGCACGTGTGCCAAACCTGGCACGCCAGCGACTTCTTTCCAGCACGCTAACCTCTGGTTTCATTTCAAAAAAGACAATAAAAAATTATGACATTTATCACGTATCCTTTCCAAGAAAAGTTGGGAAATAGTCCCCATATGTTTCCAGATAATTTGTATCAAAGACATGGCCGACTTTGGCAGGCATACTTAAAAAAGTTACCCACCCCTGGCCTAGCACGTCTTCTAAATCCAGCACTGGCCAAATCCCATTAAATAAATTCCAGTTTATCACCTCTGAACGACACAAATATTTCATGGGTGATGCATTTTACGGCCGGAATAGAACCCATTAAGTTTTATGCTGGGCAAGTTTGTCAATATAGTTAAATACAAAAGCCATAAAACTTGGAATCACTGGAATCAGAGTCTTAAGTGGAGAATGCTTCTTCTGATTGTCTACATATAATCGTCACAGGTGCGGCGTCCTGAACACAAGTTACACCAAGTTGTGGAAATTTTTATGGAATAAATATTGACATTTATATTCATTTACTAAACGCTGCTTCTTTTGATCGGCTTCAAAACATTAACATTGATGAAGTGTATAAATTTAGTCTGAGTTGGTGCAGATTCACAAGTTGTATTGAAATTGTTAAAAAAAAAAAATAATAGGCTTTAAACTCTGATCGTTGGTAAGCTTTATTAAAAAAATGCTTAGTGCTCACTGTGAGCTGTGTAAATTTCATATTGTCAGTTTTAATAAATGAAATCGTTTCTCATGTAATATCTAGAGAATGCGTCTTCTGATCGGCTTCAAACCATAAACGTTTGTATATCTTAAGTGGAAGTATCTATGTAATGATGATGGGCTGTGTGGTTACCAATTCTCTCCCCCCAAATTTGCAGGATTGTATAGTATGAAAAGAGAAAACTTAAAAAATATAAATTAGCTCATTTATGGCATTTATCAGTTTAATGACGATAGATCGTAACATCTGCCGGACATTCTCAGCAAAAAAAAATTTTCTCTAAAATTCTCGTTTATTTCTCAAGAACGCATTATGCGATAAACTTCAAATTTTCAACGCTGGTGTAATGTGTCTTGGAAAGAATCAAAGGTCTATATGACCCCATCTGGATTAGGTCTATTATCTGATTAAATTTAAATAATGGTGCACGTCGTCTGTCTTAAATGCTGGTTATCTTATGAATGGATGAACAGTTTCTGGGTGTCTAAGAGGAACATCTTTCTAATGAAAGGTAGGAATATTCTTATATGTCAATGTTTGTAGATTTATTTATTTGTTTGTTGGGAAAATTAGTCTGTGACTCAGATCCCATGAAGTTTGCAACGAACTTCCTTATCCCCAGGAGCAATTTTTAAGTTTTATTGCATTCCACAATTATAATTTCGAAGGCCGCATTCTTCAGGAAAGACAATTGTTTTCTTCATCGTTACATATCGCATAATTTTCAAAATATGTTCATTGTAATTAAAATAAATGTATATAATGTCATCCTAACCTAATAAGTTAATCTAAAAACGTCTAATTGAAATCGAATTTCTCGTGGTCTAAGAATAAGAAATAGAGATGCAAGGGCGTGAGTCCCCGACTCCCAAGTCCTAAAAAGTCAAGAAAGAAACATAAGCCCTCTAAACGTGCCTTTTGACGAGGTGGGTCTTCGGGCATGAATCCTCCAGAACCACTTGCTAACAAAGCAGGTGCAGGGGTATGAGTCCCTAAATACCTGCCTCCTAACAAGGCAGATGTTGGGGTGTCAATCACCAGACCCGTCTCCTTACAAGGCATGGATGTCTCTGGTCTCTGATTCTGAAATATGTGATATGCTCACAGAATGTTTCAGGAACCATTTTCACTCAACCACAACCCTAGCCCCTTCACAACCAACTTGTTGCCTGTACTCAAACCCATTCTGCTTCCTTGCACCACCAAGTAGGGTGGCGTGTCCACATAGCTGTCTCCCTTCCACATCCAACACTGATGTTCGCCGTTTATCTCTTTTCCCTCTGTTAGTAACAAGTGGATACATTAGTCAAGATACCTTCCTTCCCTCTTCAACCTCTGCTCTTTCTTCACTCGTCCACTGCCTCCATAACCAACAGGCGTGTTCTCACATCCACATTCCTTCCCGCTCTCCCTTACTAACCCTCCACAGTTAACAAGTGATCGCCCAGTAGTTGCTCACTGGAGAAATCATGTTGTTCAGTACTCATTCTTTCAACAGTTTCAGACTCTCTGCTTTCCATAGAGTTTACCTTTCTCAATATCACAGATCCCTTGTGCCCACTATATATTTCACTATACACAGTATTTCAGATCCCCGGTGCAAATCGTACATTTGACAATACACAAAAATTTGGACGCCTTGCAGTCACTTAACTATAAACAATGTTTTAGACCCATGCGTCCAGCATATAGTTCGCTATTCACACTTCCACTAGTACTACTTCTACTATTGCCTCGTTGTGCCCACTATATCCAGTGATTAAGGCACACATTGCACATCATATAGTTCAAAACAAATCCTTTCTGAAAAGAAACAGATCAATGTGACGCAGTAGGTAAGATTCACTAAAAACCTGGAAACAATGTACTTCCCATATTTACTGATCAGCGTGACTGAAATGCATACCCTCTATGGTAATGGAGAAGACAAATAGGAAGGTGACTGACGAATTAGACACTTGTCAAACATTTGGGAATCTTTACTGAGAAAGCGTTTAGCCAGCCAGTGGCTTCTTCAGTCCAATACACAGAAGAACGGTGGGAGTTTGAGGTACTCAATCCGTCATCTTGGAGCCGATGTGTTCAGTCCGTCAATCTTGAGAAAAGTATAGTAAGTGATAGAAGTGGCTTATATACTGCAGTCAGGTGAGTAGATGCAGGAGGAGGCAGAGTCACCATTGGACAAATCCACATGTGTAAGTAGGTCATGCCTCTAGAACAGTGGTTCCCAAACTGGGGGTAAATTACCCCCTGGGGGTAATTTAACCATTTTTGGGGGGTAATGGAGGGGTGACAGAAAAAAGTTATGAATTCTGAAAATCAAGAAAACAATGCGGTACCCGGTATGAGGATTATTGTTAACTTTGTCTTAGTATATAAAGTTGTAAAGTAAACCTATTATAAGTAAGTAATAAAGTTAAACCAAATAACAATAAACATCAAAAACTAATATACAGTATTAGAAAAGAAGAAATATATAGCTAAGTGTGTGGAAACCCAAAAGTATTTTGACAAGTATGCTTCAGGACAAAAGTCACTCAGTAGCCCAGATCGACCTGTCCCATACGCGTCACTCACTTCCTGAGGCTGCCTCTATTTCACACTGTCAGTTTATCTGTGAGCATCAGCCGAGGTAGACATAAGCTGGTATGTATGTGTACTGCCCTGTGCAGTATATAGTTAGTATTTACCCACTGTTACTGTGAATTTGTAGCTATTATTAATTTTATATATAATGTATGTGTGGTTCTTACGTTTTCAATGGTTTTGCTAGGATTAGCAGAGTATGCGAGGCTGTATACGTTCACGTTTAGCCATATATATCAATAATAACAACATTTTGTGAAAGGGGTAACATGTTTTATGTGGCATGTTAAATTGGGTAACAAGCTGAAAAAGTTTGGGAACCACTGCTCTAGAACTTAAGGACGGAGCTCATCGACTCCATGCTAAGGGACTGATTACCTCAACCTGCTACTCATCTTCCACCATTCTTCCCTTTATTGGACTGAAGAAGCCATTGGCTGGTGAAACGTTTCCTCAGTTATGATTCTCAGGAATCATACACCCACAAACAAAAATGATTAGAAACGGCATTAATTTCCACTTCGGATACAAAGAACAAAGGCAGCAGCGGTAGCTTTGCAAAATCCGAATAAATCTTTCATAAAATAATACAGCTGCCATCCCCTGACAACAAGTAACTTCTGTTATTACAACTACTAATTCTACTATTTCTACTACTACTTCAACTACTAGTACTACTACTACCATTACCACTAATCAATTCATCCCCGTCACCCTCGCCCTACTATCTAATATTATTTGTATGGGCTTGAATAAACTAAATAGAAAAGTAGCTGAAATATATGTTTCGTAAGTTGTTGTTGTTCCTATTTACCTAAGAAATTAACCGTAATGACAGACTCACATTTCTCTACATATTTGATAATAAATATACTCACTGTGACTCTACACTTCCTCGTTATCTCTAACAACTACCTTGAGAAACTTCCCTTCATCAGGAAGTACATCGCTGCTGTGTCTTCTCCGATGAAGGTGTTACATAATTATCATGTCTTTCTCAGCAGGAAGTTAGTACATTACTATATATCCCACACCAGGAAACCGCATACCATTACCATGTGTGTTCCACCAGGAAGGTAGTACATCCAACCAGGAACACAGTACGTAATTACCAGGTACCCGCCACCAGGAAAGCAGTACATCATTACCATGTGTGTTCCACCAGGAAGGTAGTACATCCAACCAGGAACACAGTACTTAATTACTTGATACCCACCACCAGGAAAACTGCATATCATTACCATGTCTGTTCCAATAGGAAGGTAGTACATCCAACCAGAAACACAGTACATAATTACCAGGTACCCACCACCAGGAAGGCAGTACACCATTACCATGTCTCCTCCACCAGGAAGGCAGTACGTGCTACTATGATGGTGGTGCCACTGTTTGGTCTTCAGTACATCATTACCATCTACCGTCACCAAGTGTTGGGATGCGACTGGCAAGATCTATACCAGATTTTTAACAACATGATAGAGGGAACCACTGGAGCAGTTGTTGCCATCATCTTTTGTTACACCAACGGCGAGGTACTGTCTCCAATCCTGTTACTTTGTTCTCCCAATGTCTCTCCAATGTGACTCACTATCCTGTTTCACATATCATGTAACTCATGTTCTATGAACACTTTCCTCATTCTAGCTTCATCCTAAACATTACGGTGATGACTGTGTCTATAAGATACAATATATTTTAAGTAAACTGGAAAAAGCTTTCAACTAAGATAACAAGAGGATAAATATAGTACTAGAACCGAAAGCACTTAGAAAGTCAATTCCACATTTATTGTTTTGCATACTGTGATATCACCTGTTTCATTTTATTTTATTGCATAATATATATATATAGTATATATATATATATAAAATATTATATATATATATATATATATATTATATATATATATATATATTTATATATATTTTATATATCGTGCCGAATAGAGAGAACTTGCGATCTTGGCTTAAATACCAACGCTCATCTTGCCATATAGGACAAGTGAAAATTTGTGTATGCAATAATTTCGCCAAAATCATTCTGAACCTAACGAAAAAAATATATTTATTTCACTGTGTTTGTTTAGTATTAAATTATTGTAAACCTATCTAAAATATATTTAGTTGGATTAGGATAAATAAATTGTTCTTGTTATAATAAGATTAGGTAAGTTTTCTAAGATTCTTTTGGTGCAAAATTAATTTTTTTTACATTAACATTAATGAAAAAATATATCTTTAAACGTATAAGATAAAATTTTAGAAAGGACTTAATTTTAAATGAGTTCTTGCTAATTGACCAGTTTTACATATTCGGCACGACATATATATATATATATATATATATATATATATAATATATATATATATTATATATATATATATATATATATATATATATATGCAAAACAACCACTCTGAAAGAAAAGAGAAATTCCAAGCGCTTTCGTGACTACTCACATTATCATAGTTCCTTGATAATGTGAGTAGTCACGAAAGCGCTTGGAATTTCTCTATTCTTTCAGAGTGGTTGTTTTGCATATTCTGAAATCACCTGTTTACTGTGATCTTATTGCATATATATATATATATATATATATATATATATATATATATATAATATATATATATATATATATATATATATATATATATATATATAACATGCTGGTATGGCCCGCCTCATGATGAGCGAAAACCCATGATGCGAAAACCCACAGGACCACGCAATCCTGCAAGAATCAAGCACTCAGCTAAGCTAGGTGTGTTACCCTGGTTCTAGAACATATGGTGATGTGGGTGCCTCTGAGCTAAATTCATTCTCCTCCACGTTTGGTGTACTAGCCTAAACAAGCACTGTTTTATATTATTGTGACCACGAACAAGTGGTGTTGATCACTGCCACTTGTTCGTGGTCACAATAATATATATATATATATATATAATATATATATATATATATATATATATATATATATATATATATATATATATATATTCATGTAGTAGGTTGGTAGACAGCAACCACCCAGGAAAGTACTACCGTCCTGCCAGATGACTGTGAAACAGAAACCTGTAACTGTTTTGCATGATGGTAGGATTGCTGGTTTCTTTTTCTGTCTCATAAACACGCTAGATAACAGGGATATCTTGCTACTCCTACTTACACTTTGGTCACACTTCATAGACACGCACATGCATATATATATATATACATACATCTAGGTTTTTCTCCTTTTTCTAAATAGCTCTTGTTCTTCTTTATTTCTTCTATTGTCCATGGGGAAGGGGAAAAAGAATCTTTCCTCCGTAAGCCATGCGTGTCGTATGAGGCGACTAAAATGCCGGTAGCAATGGGCTAGTAACCCCTTCTCCTGTAGACACTTACTAAAAAAGAGAAGAAGAAAAACTTTATAAAACTGGGATGCTTAAATGTGCGTGGATGTAGTGCGGATGACATGAAACAGATGATTGCTGATGTTATGAATGAAAAGAAGTTGGATGTCCTGGCCCTAAGCGAAACAAAGCTGAAGGGGGTAGGAGAGTTTCAGTGGGGGGAAATAAATGGGAATAAATCTGGAGTATCTGAGAGAGTTAGAGCAAAGGAAGGGGTAGCAGTAATGTTAAATGATCAGTTATGGAAGGAGAAAAGAGAATATGAATGTGTAAATTCAAGAATTATGTGGATTAAAGTAAAGGTTGGATGCGAGAAGTGGGTCATAATAAGCGTGTATGCACCTGGAGAAGAGAGGAATGCAGAGGAGAGAGAGAGATTTTGGGAGATGTTAAGTGAATGTATAGGAGCCTTTGAACCAAGTGAGAGAGTAATTGTGGTAGGGGACATGAATGCTAAAGTAGGAGAAACTTTTAGAGAGGGTGTGGTAGGTAAGTTTGGGGTGCCAGGTGTAAATGATAATGGGAGCCCTTTGATTGAACTTTGTATAGAAAGGGGTTTAGTTATAGATAATACATATTTTAAGAAAAAGAGGATAAATAAGTATACAAGATATGATGTGAAGCAAAGTAACATTTATGAAGGGGTTCAGGGAAACTGGCAGGCCGGACTTGAATCCTGGAGATGGGAAGTACAGTGCCTGCACTCTGAAGGAGGGGTGTTAAAGTTGCAGTTTAAAATCTGTAGTGCAAAGCACCCTTCTGGCAAGGCAGTGATGAAGTGAATGATGGTGAAAGTTTCTCTTTTTCGGGCCATCTTGCCTTGGTGGGAATCAGCCAGTGTGATAAAAAAAAATAAAATAATATATATATATATATATATAATATATATATATATATATATATATATTATATATATGTATATATATATATGATATAATATAGTATATATATATATGTATATAATATATATATATATATAATATATATATATATATATATATATTATATATAAAATTATTATATATGTATATTTTATATATATTATATATAAATATATATGATATATAATATATATGTATATATATATATATATATATTATATATATATATATATGTATATATAAAATATGTTATATATTAAAATAAAATTTTATTTATATGTATATATATATATATATATATATGTATATATATATATGTATAATATATATATTATGTATATAATATTTAATTAATATGTATATATATATATATATATATATGTATATATATATATATATATGTATATATATATATATATATATATATGTATATATATATATGTATATATATATATAATGTATATATATGTATAATGTAATATATGTATATATATATATATATATATATATATCTAATATATATATATATATTATATATATATATATATAAATATTATATATATATTATAAATATATGTCGTTGTGCCGAATATGTAAAACTGGTCAATTAGCAGAGAACTCATTTTAAAATAAAGTCCTTTCTAAATTTTCTCCTTATAACGTTTGAAGATATATTTTTTCATTAAAGTTGATGATAAAAATTTATAATTTGCAACAAAAGGAACTTAGAAAACTTACTAACCTTATTAAAACAAGAAATCAATTTATTTTAGCCTATACCCAACTTAATATATTTTAGAATTGTTTACAGTAATTTTAATACTAAATAAACACATAGAAATATATTTTTTCGTTAGGTCAGAAATGATTTTTGGCGAAATTATGGACATACAACAAATTTTTTCACTTTGTCTTATATGGCAAAGATGATCTTTGCTAATTTTAAGCCAAGATCGAGCAATGTTCCTGCCTTATTCCGGCCACGACCTATATATATAGTATATATATAAATATAATATATATATAAGATATATATATATATATATATATATATTATATAATAAGTGTGCTGAAGGCGCTCAGTGGCTCCTTCCACAACGGTCTCTTCCTAATTCTGGTCTCCCCTGAAAAGGGGCTGCGGCTTGAGTGGCTCCTTTTCCTGAGGGCTCCCTTTCCTGAGCAACAACCTTTTCAAACCTATATGCTAATGAACTTGGACCTCGCTCTCAGACCACCCTCACCTCGAGACCACCTCGCCCTCGAGACCACCTCGCGTCGGACCACCCCCCACAACCCCCCCCTCCACGCCTCCCCCCCCACCCGCGCCCACACGCGCCCCCCTTCCCCCCTCTCGCGCCTGCCCGCCGCGCCCTCGCGCCCAGCCGTCGCCTCACGCCCACCAGCGCCTTCTGCTGAGCCTTCTGCACGTCGTCCGGATAGCACCCCCAGCGCCTCAAATTTTTTTATATATATCTCGATTTTTTTTTTTTTTTTTTTTTAAATTTCATTTAGCTTGCAGAGATCTCCTCGGAACCAATTTTTGAGGTTCCCCCTCCCCACTTTCTTTCACGTTCACCCCATCCCTAATATTTTTTTTTTTTGAATTCATTTTACTTGTGATCTCCCGGATCCAAGTTTTGATTCCCCCCTCGGGGTAACATTCAAAATGGACCTCCCACTTTCAACCCCAAAATAATTCCTCCTTCCATCTCCTTTGGTCAAGTTTTCTCGATAATACCAAGATTCCATCCCTTGGATCTAGTTTTTGGATTCTCCCCTCTGGGGGTAACAATGAAATGAACCCCCTAAGGGGCCAGGTACTTCTCTTACTACAGGTCTAACAAGTGTGACGTCACCCCACCTGTGTTACTCGGCGGTCAGTGACGTCACGTGATGAAACCTCACACATACAGGCTGAATCTTGTTCGACTTCCCCCCTATGTCAGTGACGTCACGTAAGGACCGCACACACAGGCCTGAATCTTGTCGAGCAGACATAAATTAAAATGCAGGATAACACTTTTATTATACAACCAATGCATTTCATATACAACAAAGAGAAAACATTCTATCTACAACTCTTAAACCAGGATAACCCAAATAATTCCACATTTTTTCGTTAATACCTACAACAATACACAATTTCTTTACAAAATACAACACAAGTCTAGACATTTTTCTCGTTTTAACTATTTCATCTCTGGTGCACTCCCCACGAAGTAACCTTCTTCCTCTCTCCTTCTCCCCACCCTCGCC